AAAATGTACCCAAAAATTAAAGTGCCGGCCAGTAAAAAAAAACTGTGTCATCTTACGGCAAATGATCTTTTAAACATTTTTTATTATTACAACTTTTAGACGCAAAATGGATCTCCGAAAATCATAAAATGAGCATTTATATTTATGGATCAATTAACTATTTCTGAATAATTAAAAACCTAAACAACGCAAGACCATCGAAATGAGACCTGCGGAATTATAACATATGAATAAAGCCACGTAGGTAACGAAATGAAGTCTTTTTCTTTACATATATTTTATAACACTAATACCTACACATAAATACCTACGTAGGTACTTAGGTACCTAATGATGATTGTATATAATTAGGCTTTTTGTCATATTATATTATTATTAAGCGAGATTAAGTTATTCTTTATCATCATTATTTGATTTTTGTTATAGTAATGAAGTAAAAATTGTTCAGACGAACTCGTATAAATGCATTTTTTTGTTATTTCTAAGTCATATAACTCATAAGTAATCGGTCTTAGCTTATAAAGAAAAAAATCTTAGAATGTCATTCTCTAACCGATAAAACCATTTTTTTTCGTTGGCCGGCACTTTTTTTATGGAGCGTGAATGATGTCCTTTTTAAACAAGTTGCAAAATATTCCTGTGTCGCGAAAGACTTGACAAACATACATGAAACGAACACAAAGAACACCCAGACTTAGAACAAGAATTTGTTGATCACACAAAGTGCTGTTCTATGTAGGGATCGAACCCGTAACACTCAGCGCAGTAGAAAGCGGCGAGGTGACCGCTTCGTGCAGTCAAATTTCGCATACATATTATTATATATTATATTAGCAGTGTACGTTTCTTCTAATGGTTTTTACACGTAAATTTAAGGTAGTTTGAGCAGCCGGGTCACCTGAACATGAGTGACAACCGATGCCTGCAACTCAAAGTCACAAGCGTACTGCCGATTAGGGATGGTATAAAATCACAATCACATGTGATAAAACATATAATTTGTAAATCATATCAGCACACCTGTGGCTGATTTACAAAACCACTGCTACTTAATTATTATTATTACGTTAACGCAAGACTCGCGAAAGGTCTAAATCTAAAAAAAAGGTCGTAATCTTTGATAAAAATAATTTTGATTGATTTTAATGCCATTTAACTTAGCCTATAATGATGTCACAATGACATATGTAATGCTGTGACTAAAACAAATCATTTCATCAAATATGATTTAAAAGTAGCAATATTGTCTACTGCCGGACGTTAAGTGAGTACTACGTACGAAAAAATCGAATGAAAAATCACCATTCATTCACAGTTCCGGAAATACCGCAGACGATAACCCGTTCCACAGATTGGTTGTGCGGGGCAAAAAGTGTCTCGAAAAGCGTACAGTAGTGGAGCGACAATTATCCAGGTGATGAGGATGAAATTACAGCCACGGCCTTACTGAAAACCGGAGTTAAGCAGTTTTTGAAGTGAAAACTTCTTTAGGCGCGTTGGGCATTTTTGAACAACAAGCAAACTAATGTATTTTATGGTTTAACAAAAAACTCATTTTTGAGATGGAAAAAAATCATTGAACTTGCGACGCTGTTACCGTTACCGACACCTTTGTTAAAGTGAAAACTTCTTAGGCGCTTTGGGCATTTTTTGAAATAAAAAAAACAATTGAACTTACGACACTGTTACCGATACCGTTACCGACACCTCTATATATAAGTATAGAAGTTTTCACTTCTGTCGGCACTCCCGGAGTGCCACTCCTTTTTTTCCGTTGCCTTTTACCGAGTGATGATACCAGAGTCAAACCCTACTGACTCCAATGTGAGAGGACTCAAAGAGCGTCTATGGACTTTTGACTCTTTAGTAGTAGGTGTTTACCACAAAAATCCCTAAAAGATGGACGTGTAATCTTGTGGAACCCATCTATATTTTATTGAAGTCGTTTGAAAAACACCCGTAATTGCATCATTTATTTTCTCTCCAAAGCTCTGCAGGCCATAAATCAAATAATCGTAGCGTCTATACTCGTATAAACTCGTATACGTTTTGTTGATAAGAGTACTTTAAAAAATAGCAAAGTTCACGTTATTTTTGGCGGCTTATTAGATTAGAGCCTGGAAATCGTCTGTAACGAGGTTTTGAGGGAATCGGAGTTGATAGTGTTAGGTATATACAGGTGACTTTAAATTTGCCGTCCATATTAACACAGAAGAATCTTTAGTAAAATTTATAAGAAACTCGCATTTTAGTTTAGTATCACACGGTACAAGAATATTGTGTTTTTTTTCTTTTAAAGGTATACCTTACTTATTATACTAGCAACCGAAATTATTAGTATTCCCGTTATCCCCTCCCGCTAAACTAAATTGCTTGTGTTAGGAGTGGGTTCACGTCGGTAGTGTACTGGTCAGGATTTGAACCCACGACCTCTTGATCGCAAGTCCAACGCCTTAACCACTTGGCTAACGTCGCTTCACCAATTAGCATCACAAAGTTGTCTCAAGAACTCGCAATTTGTAGACACACTGCAATCGGTAGGCGCGCAAGGTACAATGACCTCTCCATCGGTATCGCATACTTCGCTACATTACATTGATAAATAAAGTACCTAACATAAAATCCAAATACTAAAACTTACCGTAATTAAAGGGCACGTTTGAAATAAGTAAAAATATACAAATCTTTAGTGATATGTACAATAATTAATAAAAAAAAGCAATTGGAGGTTATAGTAGTGATTAACCATAACGGGCTCCCTACAAATATAATATGGACAAAATAAGATTTCGTGTGAGTACATAAAACATAAGACAATGCAATCTCTTTTCTTAACTTTTTTGAGTCATTAATTTAGAAACCTATGATCGCTGTTCCTTGTTATTACTTTGTTTATTTTTATATTATGCTCACTAAGTGTACTGTAACGTTCTTGAGTATAATAAAGTTCTTTAAACCTAGATCATTGGTATTGTACTAGTATAACAAGTATTGTGTAATAGACCCACAATGGATAACATTTTGTGTAATCCATGCATTGTTGTTCTGAGTCTCATTGTTCTTTGTATCTATTTTATAAATGTTTGTAAAGAAAATAATAAATATACATATTCCCAATGCGGTAGTTGTTTTTTTTTTATATTTCATCGCACCTTAATGCGATCAGGCTGCAACCCTATATTCTATTCTATATTGTCTATGTTTAATTTGAATTAAGAAATAAGAAAACCTTTAAACGAAATTCAATTTTAATTAGTTATCAGAAATGAGTTAATTTTCGTAAAAGTAATTATATTTAAATAGAATTTATTAGAAAATATTTTTAATGCAGCATTATTACTTTGATACCGTTTTGTGAATTTTATTAAGGGTCTAGCGGTACTTGGCAATGACGAGCCGAAAGAAGCAGAACCCAGACATCTCTTTTCATCAAAAAAATACCTATAAATAACATTTTAGTTCTAAGAACGTTAAAATATGAACAGAAATTTATATAAAATATGTTATATAAATTTCTGTTCACATTCTATTATCGTTAGCCCAGAAATAACACAAGACAGAAATTTTATGTAGAAAATGTTGATGGGATGTCCAGATCGATATGAAAATTCAAATTTTCATACAGTCTGAAAAACGTATTTGCTAGACTTCTGCGAGACTTAAAATTGCACGACATATGTGTGATGTGATGTAAAATAAAAGATTACTTTGAAGATAAGAATTAGTCTAAAACAGCGTTATACCTTTTCTATTCTGTAACAAGACACTAACAAAATTCTGAATTCACCATTACTCACCATTACTAATCATTACTAATCATTATTGGCGGTGTAATGATTTAAAAAAAATTGTAAAAGGCTTAGAAACCTCTAAGTCTAATATTTAAATATGTGGGTATTATGATAAAAGAACATAAACTAAAAATTTGAAGGTGAACTCAATGCAAATTAAGGAACAAGTGGTCTTTAACATCTCCGTAGTTCGTAGCGCCAGTCGATTTCGCGAAGCCGCGTAGCTCGGTCACGTCCTACGCCGTAGACGCAAGTCTAACCCGCGCTATCGTAATATAAAATAAGTTAGAATAAACTTATTTTCAGTGAATCATTACACAATTTATTTTACTTATACGAAATATAGTTAAAAAGTGTTTAGAAATCTTGACATATATACTCGTAATGTGTATTCTCAGTGTAAAAAAATGTTTTCTTTTTTAAACTTGAACTATAGAGACTTCTAAAAGGTGCCAAAAATATTAGCCGCACTTGAAATTAGGTCATTTAAGCTGTAAGTGGTATATTATATTTATTGTGTGTAGAATAGGTTTACCGGAATCAAATAATTTTTATGATGTCTCGACAAACTTTTAATGAAACTGAAGTTTTTGAAAAAGTGTTCCTATAATAAGGCATAGGGCCATACTGAGACTAGTCAAAAGTATCAATAATTTTTTTACGTGGAATCTCACAGAGGGTCCGATTCTCACCAGAGCTAACAGGGAAGTGGTATGTCAGAATTAGGTATACCCTAAGGCGGATGGAATAATCAAAAATTATCCTACTTGCTACCACGGTAAAAGCTCTCTCAATATAGATTTTGTAGTTCTAATAAGAGAAACAAAAGGTTTGCTGTATTTGATAACAAAGTTTGTCACTTATCTAAAATATATCTTTTTTAGACCCAAATTACAACCAATGATTTAACCGTGCCTAAGATTTATTCGTACGTAAGTATAAAAATCTGTTTTTGATGGTATTATGGGAAATTGAACAGTTTGGTCACCGTGAGAAGCCAGACAATTTTAAACTTCAATTTTTACTCAGATAGAAAATTAAAATTACTAAAAATAATTTCAAATACGACAATATTTTTGCACCTACCTTATTATATTTTTACATCCAAAGGTTGACTTATTAAAAGTGTTTTGCTTGTATTTATGCCGGCTTTAAAATGTGCATAAAACATTGAATAAAAAAGATAATGTCGTAAAAAAAGTGGTCAACATGATGCTGAGTAACTACGATTATGAGGAAGAATTCCTTAAAGCGACTACAACGTCTATCGACAAACAGTTTTGGGACTATTTCGATGTAACACCAACCAGTGCGGCCAACCTTACTGAGACAACATTAGTTCTTCGAGATCAAAGTGCAGTGCTCATCACATACAGTATATTGTTGGCTATTGGCGGTGTGAGCAATATTACCGTGTTGGTGACGTTGGCTCGGTCGAGGAGGAGAAAGTCGAGGGTGGATCTGTTGATGACGCATCTTGCGTTGGCCGATGTTTGCGTCACGTGTGGTGTGATACCGTTAGAGGTAAGTGGCTTTTGTATATGTTATCTGGACTAGCTAAAGTATTTTTATTGATTATTTGTTTAAATGTTCTACTCTTTGGAACTATCACTCATACTAGAATATATATTTGTATTGTTTGAATATATACTGTGTCCATTCAAGAATATCATGCTATGACTCTTAAGAGTGGAGTAGTGAGCGTTTGTACGTAGTTGTATGTAAAAATACAGTTTTATTGAGTGTCATCTTCAATTTTGATAATATTCAATGATCAAATTTATGTGTACGATGCACTGCAGAAATGTATCAGTAAGTCTTTTTTCGATGTATTTTTCATTATCAGGACAAGGTTTGGTTAAAATTATTATAGAACATTTTTTTGGGCAAACTTGAAAACTTGGGTTAAAAAATCTAAATATAAAAAGAGAGTGAATGCGTGAGATGGACTACTTACCGTGAGTGAGAGAGAGTGAGTAAGATTGATGACAGTAGGGAGACCTTACAATTATTATCAATTGTTTAGTTTCTTACAATGTTTTATCTGTGTCGACTGAAATAAATTCTTCATCGTCTACAATGAAAAAAAACGTGAAAGAATTAAAAAGAAATTTCGGTTTTATCTTCTTCTTTATTTTATTTTTAATTACATCCTACAAAAATATATTTTGATTAAGGGCTTTACCAGTTAGTCAAATATTGTTTCTTATAAACGGACAATAGTTATTCTTCAACATAAAGGTAGATTACAATTTATTTGCGCTGGCAGCAAACAACAGTAGCAGGCAGCGTACAGCATACAGCAAGAGGTTTTTAATTGTTATTTGTATGTTGCATGTTATATCATTTATCTATACGTTGTTGTATGTATGTAATTTATCCATAGAAGATATGGATCTTGAAAGATTTAGAGTGGTCCTTTATAAATTGACGGCACGTATGGCGTAATGTTTTAGGCGCCACTGCCTACTGTGCTGAGTGTTGTGGGTTCGATCCCCACATGAGACAACATTTTGTGTGATCCATAAATTGTTGCTCTGAGTCTAAGTGTTCTGAGTGCCCGTCAGAATATTGTTTTGTAAAATCCCCCTCGACACAGGATACATTTACAGTGCGGGAGTTGTCTTTTTTAAAAGATAGAATAAAGCTTGGTCGGTGTTAAACAATTCTTTAGTTGTCATCTATATAGTGTTTGAGGATTAAACTATCCCTTTTATAGACAAATGAATTTATTACAATACGTCCAATAATTTTGTGATGTTCAACTTTTAATTTTTGGCATTTCCTTCCATTCTCTGTGACCTTAAGTAACAGGTTTTAGTAGGTATTATAAACTGAACTTAATCAAATTTAACTAGAATACCGTACTCAATGTAAGATCGTTTGACTGTCAACCGACCTTAAGAAGATAGTGTTAAGAATACAGTAGCGAAATATATTGAAAAATATGAATACCTATACAATTCACGATATACCGTCGTTGTGTAGTAAACACACCATCATGTATGTACAGCTGACGGCTTCAATAAGCTGTAGAAATGAGAATGGAATGTTCCAGACTAAATGCTGAGAGGGACGGTTCTGTCTTTTATATTAAGATTGCGATGTACTAGACATAGCAACCTGCGCACGCCACAGCCGTCCCCTTACGCCCACTATTGGATTCGGTCTAGGAATAGGCAATTTATTACTAAGTGATCCTTTATACTGTGATTTCTTTTTCTCTATTAATCGGGAGTGAAAACAAATATCCTTAAATTGTGTGAATACGGTTCTACCCACCGTAAAATGTCAGTAGTTCTGGAATGCCCGATCAGATTTTCGACCGCCAATACGTCTTGCCAAAATAGTTTCAGACGTCGTGATTTCATCTAAAACTAGCCGCGGCACGCTCTGTTACCAAAGGTTGTTACAGTACCTTGCTCATCCCATGGGAACACTACATTTTTTCGGGATTAAAAGTAGCCTATGTGTCAATACAGGGTGTTATCATCATTGGATTATCCGTTTATAGGGCATTGATTGTTTCTTTCTGTAAGTCGTTTAGTAATCATGAACATATTAGTTAAGACTCTCTCATGTTGAATCAACACAAAAGCGACAAGGACTTAAGAGCGGCTCCTTGTCAAGACCGGTTTCTTCTACAGCCACAGACTCCCCAGTTAGGTACCTCCATACCAAAGTTTTATCAAAATTGGTCAAGGTCAAGTAACAGACATAAAAGTACACAAACACACACACACTCATAAACATTCACTATTATAATATCAGTATGATTCTAGTAATTTCTGATATATCGTAACAAACGGCGTAAATATCAGAAATTACTAGGAAATTACATTTTTGAACCGTTTGGGGTCGAAACGCTAGGGCCATGGGGTCCAAGTGCTCGTACTATATATAAACAGCTAGCTAAACTACTGATTGACACTTCTCGTGATCAAAAGGCTGGTCTTTTTCTAGCACAGAGAATTAGCATTGCCATTCAACGTGGCAATGCTGCCAGTCTTCTGGGAACGCTACCAGTAGGCGATGATGCAAAGGAATTTTTTGATGCTTGTATGTAGATAGTGTAAATGTTGTAAATATTAATATATATTAACTTAATTTTATTTAATTTTTATTCTTAATTTCATTTTTATTTTTGTACTAGATACTAGAATTTCCTCCCTTATTTTTCACTTTCTTGCTCCTTTTATTAGCTTTAAAAATTGTTGTTGGTTATATATAAGTGATCTTATTTGTATGATTCTCAAATTTTGAAAATTTACATTTTACGATTTTACCAGTATTAAATTAGGATGATTCAATTGCATCCAAGACGCATAGTCATCGCGAAGTGCTATCGATCCATCGTCAGTTTACCAAACCGGAATCTACTCAGTTTAACTTCGTCAACCAATAATCGAGTATAAATCGTATTACAGAGCTTTTATGTTTAAGATTTAAAAGAGGGACTTGGCGAATGGCCCAAAATGGCGGTGGTTGGTGAAAATAATTTTTGCGGCTGGTTCGAAATTTACTGTAAGTGAATTTACTTTGTAAGTAGGTGAAGAAGGTATAAGAAAAACGCTTACTCACATTTGATGTGCCGAGGGGTTCCACTGCGCATACGCGGCTGCCACGTATTTTTCGTATTATTGACACAATAGCGTATGTCTTGCGGCGCGTCTCAATCTTTTTACATATTCACGATTTTTCATATCTTACAAGAAAGTTTCATTCAAATTTGAAACTTATGTCACCAGTATGACAGGTGTCTATGGGCTAAGTCAGTACTAAGGCTGGAAGGAAGGCATGGGTACTGTGTTTAATGGAACAAGCAAACCGTTGCTCTTTTTTGAAACCTTAGGGGTTGTATTTTTTCTTCAAATTAAAATAGGACTACACGGAAAATATACTCACACAAATCAAAACATATTTTTTCAAATTGGTTAGTAAACAGGTGCGTTTTGAGGTAATAAACATAAAAAAAAAGTGAGAATGCTTTTTTAAAGGCGGTTAAAAACTTGCTTACCGTTTAGTGGATTTTTGCATCATTTTCTAGATATAGATAGTTAATTCAATTAATTAGCTGACCGTTTTGGCAAACTCAATTCGTTACAGACTTCGTAGAAGTTGACTTCAGAGAAATCGGTAGGTACACAACGAAAAGATTTTACTCTTTTCGTTGTCTACCGATTATACAGACAAACACAGACAAAACGCAACGCGATTTGTCTTGCACTCTTAATACGCAAATGTGAATGCATCCTATGAGTATTTACTCATTTTCAAAATTTGATAATCATACAGATATTTTAAAAGTGAAAGTTTATGAGTGTGTGTGTGTTTGTGTACTTACTTGTATGTCTGTTACTTGACCTTGACCAATTTTGATAAAATTTGGTATGGAGGTACCTAACACCCTGGATTGACACATAGGCTTTCACCTGGAGTAGAAAATAAACATTTAGTATAATTCGAAATTGGAGTACCTTGTTATGAGAAGAGAACTCAATGTATCTGTCAAGTTATATAACTAGATAAGTATTTAAATAGACATCTCTCCATAATAAGCACTTGTGAAATGTTCAGGTATCTCTGGCCTGTTCATATGTTTAGCATCTAAAAATGTCTGCACGTGTTACAGTGTATTATGTATATAAATTTGAATTACTGAAGTTTAGGGTCTGCTTCCAAGGTGAGACGGCTTTAAGTTTTTATATGTATATTCAGAAATATATAAGTCAATAGTTTACTACACACACAAAGTCACAGTGTATGATATAATCGTGGGAGAGCCAAGCTTCGGTACAAATTAGCCGGCTCGATCAGAGTGATAGTACCACCTGAAAGAAAACCGGTGTTAAAAAAGAAAAAAAGAAAGAAAATACTTTTATTTAACTGTTAAGCGTTTCCTTTTTGTTTTTTTTTTTCAACCCCTCCATGTCTTGGAGGGAGCACACAAACGGCAACACGCACTTGTTTCTCTTGAATTTCAGGTGTCAATAGGTGGCAGAATCTAGTACAGTACGGCTAGCTAGGCTTAGCCAGGTATCTGGTGATCGGATGTATGACCATCGGGCTTCGATCAACAATGCTATTGTTGATCGAAGCCATCGGGCCTCAAGTTTAACTGATATCCGTCTAAACTGTAATGCGTCCAATCTTTTATTTCATAAATGGCTGCAATTTCATCATTTAGTCGATGAGGAAGAAACAAAATTTTCATTTCTTCTCTTCAAAACATTGATAGGCCGGACCGATGGACATGACGGGCCTGTCGGTCTAGTGGTTAGTAACCCTGACTGCTAAGAAGGAGGTTGTATGTTCGATTCCCACCCATGACAAATAATTGTGTGATGAGCATGATGATTTGTTCAGTGTCTGGGTTTCATTTATCCATACTATGTATGTATTTAGAAATATATAAGTATGTTTATTAGCAGTTTGGTTACCATAGCACAGGCTCTACCTAGTTTGGGATCAGAACGGTCGTGTGTGAGATATGTGAAATTATTATTATTATTTCTAAACCGTATCCAATATCTTAACATATCATGCTGGCTAATATA